GTGGTGGGCGCCGGCCTCCTGTGCCTGCTGAGCGAGGCGGGCCTGACGAAGCGCAACCCGGCCCTGCTGCTGGGGGTGTGGCACGCGCGGGTGGGCGCCCTGCACCAGCGCATGAAGGAGGCCCTGGCGCGCTGCGCCCACTACTTCCGCGAGCAAGCCCAGGAGGACCTGGACCGGGCCCTGGGCGGAGCGGCCCCCCCGGCCCCCGCCGAGCTGGTGGCCGGCCTCCTGCGTCAGCTGGAGGCCAACTACGACTGGCTGCGCTGGGCGGCGATGGCCTGGCAGGGCGAGGGGGAGGGCCCGGGGGAGGTGCTGGCCCAGGGCAACTTCGTGGCCGGCCGGGCCCCCTCCAGCCTGCAGGTGGTGGCCTGCTACGGAGAGAACCCCTCTGCCCTGGACAAGGCCTGCACCCCGAGGTCTACGCCAGCCTGGAGGCTGAGCCCGCCCGTGCCGCCGGCTACCTCGCCCGCCGCATGCTGCAGAAGCTGGCCGAAGGGCTGGGGCCCGGCGTCACCCTCCTGGTGGTCCCGGGCAAGCTGGCCATGAAGAGCGGCTTCCCCCCGGCCTCCAGCCTGCTGCACGAGTACCGCCATCGCCTGGCTGCTGGCACCGTCTGCCTCTTCGGCTGAGCGCCCATCTGTCCGTGGAGCCGGCAGACCCACCCAATAAAATGGCCTTTTGTTGACAGGTGTGTGTCCGGCCCCTTCCCTTCCTGTGCCTGCCGCCCACCACACACACACACACACTGGTAAGGGGAAGGAGACGGGAGAGAGGGGGGGAGAGGGAGCTCTATAAGGTTATGCACAGGGCAAGGCGAAAGCATTTTCCCCATCAGACTAGAACCTCCCCCTTGGGGGGGAGACCCACTGAAGTGAGAGGGTGGGAGATCCAGGACAGTCACAAGGATGCGCTTCTTCACACCCTGCAGAGTCAAACTGTGGAACTGGCTACCACGTTTGGCAGGCCTGAAGAGGGGAGTGGAGAAATCCGTCAAGGAGGGGGGGCTGTCTGTCTCTTGCTGGCCACTAGTCCATTGGGAGGGGGACCTGTTCCCTCCCGCCCCGCAAGGCAGTGGGGGGCGGGGGGGGTGCTGCTGCTGCTGCTTCCCTGAGGTGGCCGCTTGGGCAGGGAGTGGACCGGATGCTGGGGTCTTGTCAGGCCTGACCCAGCGGGGCTCTGCTTAGGTGAGCGTGTGTGGTGAGGCCCTGGTCCCAGGGCTCTTGGCCTGGAAGCACAACCTCTGCTCCCCGCAATGACCGGACATGGTCTGGGCCCATCCGCCAGTCCCAACTCTGGCTCCTTCCCCTCCCCTCCCCTCCACAATCCCCCCACATACACACACACACGCACGCACGCACCAAGACGAGCCGAAAGCCCCTGTCCTCGGTGCCGCCACGGGCCCCGCTTTATTGGCGTCTCAGTGTGGATACAGAAGGGAAAGTCAGCCGCAGAGGGGAGACAGCCCACCCTTCACCCCTGGCGCGGAGGGCCGTGGGGAGGAGCACCGTCGCCTCCTGCGGCAGGGCACTTGAAGAAGATGGCCGCAGTGTCCTGGGCGGCTGGAGGGCTTGCGGCAGCCTGGAGCTCCTTCACGCTGGCATAGTGGTAGAAGCTGGGTCCGTGGAAGAGGTGCACCCCGTCCCCGTTGCACAGGGCGCCGTCCACGTGGGCGTGGGGAATGGCTACCGCCGGGCCCAGGCCTTTTGACCCCCGCAGCAGGTCCACGTGCCGCAGGGTCTTCCCTGGGGGAGGAATCAGAGCGGCTGCAGCGGAACGGAACGCCTTGCTGTCGAACCCCAGCAGCTGCCGCAGGCCACACGCACAGCAAGCTCTCCTGAGGTCCCTGGGCAACGGGGCTGAGAGGGGGCTGAAGCCGGCATATGCCCAGAGGCAGCTCCCCCCCCCCCCCCGCGGGGGCCCTCCCCAGGAAGCCCCCCCCTCCGGCACCCTCGCCCCCTGAGGCTGCCGCCAACACCCTCGCCCCCTAGTTCTCGAAGGCCGCTTCCAGCTGAGGATGCCAGCCTCCAGGTGGGACCTGGGGAACCCCCAGGATTAGAGCACATCTCCAGACGACAGAGACTGGTTCCCCTGGATAAAAGAGATGCTTTGGGGGGCGGCCTCTGCGATGGCCCTGTGCCCCACGGAGGCCCCTGTCCTCCCCCACGCTCCACCCGCAGGTCTTCAGGAATTTCCCGACCTGGAGCTGATAACCCTACCCCCCCGGCCCCCTGCCAGCGGCCGGGAGGGGGGCTGGCAGCAACCCTCCTTCTGACAGACAGGGCATGTCTGAGAAATGGGCCCAGCTGAGGAACATCCCCCTCCTCAGGGCATGTGCAGAGAGCAGACTGGGACCCAGTGTGGGGGGGGTGGCTTTGCCAGTGACTACTGGCTACAAAAACCAGCACAGGGGCAGCTGCCAGAAGGGGGCCACAATGGGGAGGAGGAGGGCAAGGGGCCATTCCAGTCGGCAGCAGAGGACAGAGGACCCGAAGCAACGGGT